GGAACTTCATGTGCAACTGATACATAAAATTGGCTGGATCTGGATCAGGTGAATGCCAAGTATGGTTCAAGTCCTATGGAATAGGCTTAACCCATTATCTGGGGCAGTTTTATTCTATTGGACCTGAGGAAGTGGGCAGGATCCTTCCTTTGGACTGTAAATACCATCATCTGTGAGCTAGGATCCATGTCCCTCCTAGCTGCCCACGTGGGCGGCTCAATCAATGATGAATTCATCCTTGATGGGAGGGGATATAGCTTTTAAAGAGGCACTAATGTACCCTGTCCACTAGAAGCCACTACTGGGGACCACCGTTGTGGACAATTTTCATCCAATCTTTGGTTTAGAAGATGGTAAAGTTTCAATTCCAGAGGATGTTGGTTGAAATTGATTATCTGGACCCTTTTTAGTCAGATTTCAGGCCTTGATACAGGACAGAAACAGCACTGTTTACATTTTTATATTAGGTAAATTTTTATAATTCTTCCTTTCCAAGTCAAGTGAATATATAAGAGTATATATAATCTTTCCTCCTATCCTGAAGACTTCCCAATTCTTAGGAATAAATTTTTAGAAGATGAAAGTAACCATAGAATGAATAGGTGTGGAAATTGCCCTTTCTCTCAACTATTAATATGCTTAACAACAGTGCTTAAATAATCTGTTCCATACATGGTAAGACCTTGCATTCAAAGTTGTTTAAGAGAAGTATTTCCAGACATATGATAAAATTTACCTCAGAATGCAGCTTTATATTTACAAATGCCACCTTTTTATTTCAGGCTCAACTGATTCTGCTATAAGAAAAAGCAAAAATGATAAAGTTAATTGTTTTAGTCACGGAAATCGGTTATGCAACAGTATTTTGCCTAATGGAAATCTAACAGTAAGAGATCCTTCGGTTGGCACACAGTTTGTTCAAATTCAATTGCTTCAGGTAACAATTGGCAATTTAACTCACAGAAAATAATCTTTTTTTTTTTTCAGGAACATGTAACTGGGATATGTGATACAATATGTTGGTGGAGATAGCTAGATAGAGCAAGTATGTTATGATTTGGTGTAGTAAACCCAAGTTCTGCTTAGGAAATAATTGCAAAGTTTAAGTTAACAATGCTTTTTTCTTAAATCACATGTCTAAAATTTCCATCTTGATTTTTTAACCAAATAACTTTTGCCATCCTTTTGCTTCAGAAATAAATATTTGCAATTATTATTTCTTTGAAGGATGCTGGCAATAAATAACATAGAAGTGCAAAAAGATAAATTTTGGCAGTTGATAAAGGGGAAAAATAAATTCAGGTGCAATTTTGTGCTCCTCCACTAAGTGGCTATAGGATTTCTCAATCTGAAAAAAAGAGATGTGCTACTAAAAATTTCCCTGGTACACTGCTGCAGTAATAAATGTACTCCTGGTACATGGAATGTCAGAACCATGAACTGGGACATACTTCATGTCAGATTAGAAGTATTGAGATTCAGTGTTTACATTATAGGAACCGGCAAACTTAAATATTGAGATGGAATGAGTCACTTTGCATCAGAGAAGAATCAGATTTTCTACTTCAGAGAAGAAAAATCATAGATGAAATTGAGCACCAGCATTGCTGAATAGATGGATGTCAAAGGGCTCATAAAGTTCCCAAACAGTAGAATGACATACATTCAAAATCAAGCCAAGCCAATCAGTTGTAGCGCCTTACTAACATGCCACCAAATAATGTCATATAGATATAGGAACTGCCTAGAATGCTAAAGTTGAAATTAAGATAACATTTGGAATACGGGTTGTCCTTGCTTAACAACTGCTCTGTTTAGTGATGTCCGAAGTTACAAAAGTACTGAAAAAGTAACTTTATGACAGGTCCTTGCACTTACGGCCAGCACCCCTCCCGGTCATACGTTCAGGTTGCTTCACGACCAGCTTTTGAGAAGTGAAATCAATGGAGAAGCCAATAGCAAAATCACAAGTCACAGTCATGTGATGTTTTGCTTAATAACTGTGTCACTTAGTGACACAAAGTTACTGGTCTCAATTGAGCACTACTTGCAATAGAAAAAAATGCTATAGAGGCAGCATTACTTGGAACAGCTCTTATTTTGCTCACAACAAAGAGAGAGTAAAACTGTGAGAGAGTAACTTGCCCAAAGTTACCCAGCTGGTATTCATGCCTAAGGCAGGTCTAGAACTCTGGTTTGTAGGCCATCACTTTAATCATCACAGTTACGCCAAACTGGTTCTCCAGTTTCTTTTTTCTTCTGGCAATCTCAGATATGGCACCATGGATGGGTATCACCAAATGGACAACACTAAAATCAAGTTGGCTATATGCTTATTCTGCAAACAAAAATGGAATGGTCTTCCTTTAGCAAAATATTTAACACTGACAATGTATGCCTTCTGAAAGAAGTTGATTGTAATAGAAGTTATTAATAAATATGTGTTTATTAAGTCAGTGTTAGACAATGATATAACTTGGGTTGCCAAGGTGAAAGTGTGTGGGGCTCCTAATTGACATTATTAAAGTGTTTTGTTAAGTATATAAATATATGTTAACTGCTTTTAAGCACATCCACATGTTTGTAAAGAATGACCAGTTGGTGGTTGGGATGGGAGAATACAGTTTGTAGTTAGAAACTAATTTTGATTCCTTTGGTGCTAGGATGATTCTCCAGGAGAAGGAGATCTACCCTTCCAGCTCAGTTCTCAATCTTCCTCTTCACACTCTCAGTTGACAGTAGATTTACCTGTTCATATTCTTCAGGTACAAAACCTTTCAGTTTCAAAATTGGATAAAATGCCGCTTTGGCTGTTTTCATTATCATAAAATTAAACACTACTTTAAGTTTACAATAAGGTTCCTTCTATGTTTGGTTGGGTCTTCTAAATTTGGTAGGTTAATAATAGAAACATGTTGCAGGATTTTTAGTGAGAGTTTTACCTGTTGAAAAATATGAGTAGTTTATTCCTATAAAAAAAAAGTTAATAGATTTTGAAGACCGCAGTGTTTGTGTAATCTAGCGAGTGAAGTTAATCAATTGCAAATGGTGAAATTCTGAACCTTTCTTTGAAATCTTGCCTCAAACAGGAGCCACACAATTCTGCTGAAGAAGATGCCAGTTCTGATAATTCCCAGTTTACAGGAAGCACCATTAATCTACAAGACCTTGAGTGATTGTGTTTGAGATAGAAGCATTAGAACATTCAGACACAGAAGCATCCTGTGAAATAAGAGTCTGTTCCTGCTTTTAAAGGAAAAAGTGAACAATGGAAGCTTGGTCACCAGTGCTGGGATGCTTGATGGTTATCATGCAACAAAAATTTTGTTCAGTCCATTTTATTTGATAAGGCAATTGGAAATCTTGGTATGTTCTATCTTAGAGTCAGGAAAAGGTGCATATGGCGGAATTAGATTCCTGCATTAGAGTGCAATGGTGATAGCCCACAGTGATTTTAAGAATTAAGAATAATAATTCTCAAAATAGTAGATAACAATTAAGCTTAGCACTTTTATTCTTGAAATGAATCCCTAATTAAATTTTGGGTTAAAAATGAAGGAATAAGCAGGAAGACCAATTTATTTCTGCAAACTGACATTTTAAAGAGATAAGAGCATTAAAATAGTATCATACTCAGGGATAGTAAAGGTTGAATTAGTAGAGCAATATGATTTCTTGCTCTTGCTATCTCTAATTTAGCATTTTACACTGAACTTGAGAAAGCTGCCTAACATATGTTATTTCTTATCACTTTGGTTATGTTTACAGTAATGTTAAACAGTATTGACAATTTGTACAAAGCCACCTTTATTACATATACCTATCATGGCTTTTTGGTCAAAAATAGGTTTTGCTGATTCCAGTAGAATTTACTCCCAAATTAATGATGACATGATGGTCTGCTTATTGTTTAGTTACAAACTATCTGGCTGAAGAAAGAACTTCCAGCTAGTATCAGTAGCATATAAAAGTAACAACTTGACCAAAATTAAAAATAACATTTTAAAATATATATGTTTTTAAAACACCTGTATTTTAGAATTAATTCGTGCAGACTTTTAAGAAAAAATACTAAGATTTCAGCTAAGCAGAGAAGTAAGATGTCATTGTTTTACAAAAGAATTTTAAGTCTGGAACTTAAAACATTTTATTCATGATATGCCACATGGCATTAAAATTATACATATGTACAACTTAGTTAAAAAGTTGTGTGAGCATTGTTTTTTATACAAGTGTTCCTACAAAGGAAAACTTTGGAATTTTGCTAATTTATTTACAGTTAGGAAAAAATTAAAGGTTAATTGTTTTGAATATATAAGGAGTGAGCAACAAATTTCTCTAAATCAACCCTTCTTCCATCACATTCTAAATTCTTGGAACTCATGCTTAAATAAAACCAGCCTTGCCCTATTACCGCTGCAACATCTCTAGCAGAGCAAGACTGATAAACAGCCTTCTGTGGACCTTAAAATATTACTGTGCATCATGTGGGCATCTATGCTTTGGAAGTCAGGAGCCTTAGGAAATATGTTTCCTTGGAGCTGTTGAAATCTGAAGGAAGGTTCTTGGGCCTGGGGTGTTCCTTCACTCTATAGACCAGGAGGATATTAGGTCTGGAATGGCTTTGGAAATAGTATTTTCTACTGTGTTTATTAAACCATGGATAATTTCTATCTTGGATTATTCATAATAGGTTATTCCAAATTAAGAAGGTTTACCCATAAATAGAAATATACTAATTGAAGCCTGTGCCTTTTGAACTTCATTTTCAGAAGAATGTAGTTTAGAAGCATTTTATACAGATTACATTAATTCAGAATTTCATTTGTGGATGTTTTGTAGAAAAAAAAATCTTAAGTGGGTATTTTTCATTGACTTGTAAAATGTTTACCTGACTAGCGTGACCTATTAGTATTCATTCACATTATCAAAAGAAATTGTTTTTATTTCTGATATAAAACCTCTCAGTGAAAAAGTGAAGAAATTGCTTATTTTTAAACATCACCGAGGTTCAGTTTTAAAGAGAAATTGGGGGCATTTTGCCCTAAACAATTCTCACCTCAAAAACTCAGTGGAATAATTCACACACTTACTGTGATAGTGATCCTCTATAAACTGGATTGCAAGCACATCTGTCTGTCATAAAGACACAGAGGTAGATTTAGATTAAATAGGTGGACCATAAGAAGCCTGTTCATTCCTCATACCTTTTCTTTGAGTCAAAAAAACATTTTGTGGTTTCCACAGTAGGTGTGACCTACATTTTTGTCAAAGCATGTATAAGGCAGACCACTGTTCTTTTTAACCCAAAGAGGATCCCTAACTTGGTAAGAGTGTGAATTGTATCCATTTGTTGTGGTGCTTCTGCTTTACAGAGTCTTGCTTATTGAAGAATAAGTAATTGCTTCTGTGGACAGACAAATGTGTTCTTTTATGAAGTTTATATACTCAGTTTTAACTCATTGTAAATTCCTAATTGCTTGAGAGCAAGCATTAGATTTATTCTGGCAAAGTCCATTGCTGGCAATGGATATTTATAATCACTGAGTTAAAAAGACTAATAAAATTAATTAATGTTCAGTTTCTTCATTTCAACTTTATTTTTGTTATATCCATACAACCTGCTTAATTACAAAAAAAAATGAATCTGATCTTGAAGATTGAATTTTTTAAAAAGAAATTTGTACTTGTCACTGCTCTATCTATTTTCCTAGCTGCAAGACTTTAGGTTAGTCTGTGATCTTTGATCACTGGTAGATGTTTTCTATCACTAAGTTAATTTACTGACCCCCAAAAATGATTTTACAACTATGAAAAGATGTCATCCATATTTTGATCTACTGTATATCACTATACTTAGGATAGACTAGCTTTCTCCCCAAATTTACAGAGTATTGTTGGAATATTCTCTTGTTAGTTTGTCATTTGCTGTATGCTTCATAATGTCTTGCAACTTTCGACGGCTAAGTAAAGTAATAGAGCAGCTCTTCTTTTTCTTTATCGATCAGCCCCTGATCCTCATCTTCTTTCTCCTTGAAAGCGGGAGGCTCAGAACGAAAAATTAATCTTCTGCCAGTCTAAAATATGATCAGAGGGACACTTAAGAACAACTCTACCCATTTTATACTGAAATAATGCAAATAAATTCATTTTACACTAAGCGTACATCAGGGCCATCTTCTCCTGACCGCCTTTTCTTCTGCGCACAGTTTTATTTCTTCCTTCCACAAATAAGTTTCTAACTGTGCTTCTTCCCTTCTGTCATTATTTCATGCAATATGAGTATAATAGAAACATTGCTTCTTCCAGCAAGGAGTATTCAGTAGTTAATTCTAAGTGCTTTTACCTGTCCTTCCTGACAGAAGATAACTCCTTAACAATAAAAATAATTGCAGTTGCTTCATTCAACCCCTTCATTCAAATACCTGATTTAGGTGATTTGATCTAGTTTGGGTCTGCAAGAAAACAAGCAAGCTCAGAGAGCCCCAAGGACCCCTCATTTCAACCTTGGAAGTACAAATATTCTCTTCTATTGGTATGTCATGTACAGACAGTTCTGAACTGGAGTTACAAAAGGCTTTGGATGGGAGAATTGATAAAACGGTCCGAACTACTGAAATCACAAAAGGATGCAACAGCAGATGCTCAGGAGATAAACATACCTTCTTCTTAACATCAGCTTGTGCTCTTGCCAGGGCCCGCTGCAGCCTCTCTTCCTGCAATTGTCTCTGCTGCCTGATCTTTTCTTCTCTCATCCTGGCCAAATAAAAGGGCAGGTTAAAAGTTACAATTGCAAGTCACATAAGCCCAAAATTGTCTTGGGAGAATTCTACTGGTTTGTGTCATAGACAGCGTTGGATCCACTAAGAACTTTGCTCTTCACATAATGCTATGTTGAAAGCCTCTTCAGGGATAAAAGAACTGGCTCCAAAGGGCTTAAATGCTATCTGATTCATTATCTTAGCTGGTTCTGGGATTGGTATCGTATATTGATAAACTATCCATAGCATGTACTCTGCAAAACAGAGCTTTTCAGAACCTTTATTGAAAGGTTCTGAAGTTCAAACTCAGTTTCCTGCATCCTTATTAAACCTGTATGATTCAGTAAGCAAACCCAGATGATGCTTGTAAGGCCAGATATTTCTATGCCTGTAATGTCAGAGAACAAGATTCATCCATGTCATACTGTTCCAGTTCATTTGATAGCATTAACAATAGCACTTGGACTTATACACCGCATCACAGTGCTTTAAAGCACTCTTAGTATATTGCCCCCAAACATCTGGGACGTCATTTTACTGACCTCAGTAGGGTGGAAGGATGAATCAACCTTGAGCCGTTCAGAATCGAACACCTGGAGTGAACACCTGCGCCACCATGGCTCTTTGATGCTCTTACCATGCTCTTACCATGCATACAAAGTAGCTTTGATGGCAACAAATATCAGCATCAATAAGATTAACTAGAAGATGCACAGAAGGAGGAGGTGGAGGAGGAATGTAATCGTTCTGTTGAAGGCATATTGGAGTCATCTCTTTGAATAGGGTTTTTATCTTACCTCATTCTTCGCTCTTTCTCTTTGGCTTTCTCAGCTTGTTCTATCTTTCCTGGAGGGACTCTCTCAAGGCATTCTAGTAAGTCATCTAACTGGTGTTCTATAACAGTAAGCATCTGCAAGGTTCCCAGGTTTGCCTCATTCTCTCCAATGCAGCGGCGATAGACTTCCAATACCTTTCGATGCAAGCTCACCAACATTTTGTCCTGAAAATTAAATACCAATAGTGAACTTTCAGGCCTCAGAAATCTAGATATTGGGACTCTTAACATCAGCTTTTTGAATTATATTAATAATTCAAAAGTGCTCCCATCTGAAGTGCCTTTTAAGAAACCCAGCTGTGACATGGGGTCTTGATAGCAGGAGAGAACCAAAAACATACAGAAAGAATTTGAATCTCCAGATGTGGAGAACTACAGAAGGTAAAGCATCATGAAGCATTGTATATACATGCACACGCAAATGCTTAGATGAGCTCACATCTGATCTCAGTTTTCTTCAACGAGGTGGTGACTTCAACAGCATGCCACCTAAATCTCCACCGTGTTTTTTTTTTTAATTTTTCTTGGGATCTGGGTAAAGAATGTCAGGGAAATAGCGTGAAATGGAGATTTCCACTATCCGTTTACCCTGTACAAGATCACAGCACTGTTTCTGACATCAGAATAGAGAATCCAAGTTATCTTGTGGACTGTGGAGCATGGTCTTACGATCTTTCCCCTTGGAGGAAAAGTAGCCATTTCCCGTTTGCACCATTCAGTGGCACTACATGTACCTTCTGATCTTCAGGTTCAAGCTTTATCAATTGGCTTGATGTTTATACATACCTGAACATCGGCTTTGTACTCCCCAAAAGAAAAGACGCGTGCTTTAAGTTCCAGGTCTGCTGCTGTCTCCTCCTCTTTAACGATGTTGGCTTGCAGAGTGACAGCAAGCATTTTCAGTTGTTCTATTTCACGATCCCTAATCCAGAAAAGAATGAAGTCATTTTTTGAACGAGTTTGACATGAGTAATTTTATACCATGCAATTACTTGGAAAGATGAGCTAATTCAATATCTGCTCAGTTCTTACTCGGTTCAAACAGATTTTCAAGCATTTTCTTTGGAGCTGTAAGTGAGAAGCTTTCCACTGGCAAGATCATCTTTTTTCAACTCCCAGATCCTGAATTTTCCCAGCCCCTCTATACAGGTAGTCCTCAAATTATAAATGTAATGGAGCCTGCCCATTCCATTCATAAGCCAAAGATTCATGGGAGTGAATCTCGTACTTTGAACAAGATCACTTCCTCCTTTTGCCCACTCATTTGCTAATCGAATGTGAGGGTCGTTAAGTGCACATGAGATATTTCAGGGTGGGGAAGGCGATGGGGGGGGCCTACTGATGAAACAGGCCACCTGCCTAAGACCACCCAAGGCCGACCCACTGAAATATCTCATTGCTTTCCCTCCCACCCAACCTGCCATGCCAGGTCACTTACTGTGTGAATCTACCAAGCTGTGTCCTTTCCAGCCTCTCAGCCATGTGAACCCCTCTGCAGTTCTGTTTATCCCTGCACAGGCCTCATCTGGCACGTTGCAGGCCAAAATGGAGCTCTGGAGCTCCATTTTGACCTGCAACGTGCTGGATGATGCCTCCGGAGGCCCAAACGGAGCATTGGAGGGTGGATCCGCTCCTGCGAACCTCCCATTTTGACCGGCAACGTGCCGGATGAGGCCTGCACAGGCCTAAACGGAGCATCAGAGGGCAGGCCCACTCCTCTGAACCTCTATTTTGGCCAGCAAAGTACAGGATGAATGTTGCAGAGCCTCTGCGGTTGTTCATTAAGGGCGACCAACTGCCGCGGTGCTGCAAGATTCATAGATTCGGGACTTGTTCATAAATGCTAAGGTGCGCTTATTGGTAACTTCAAACATTTGCTGAGGGATCACTTGTAACCCCAGGATTACCTGTACTATTGACAAAGTTTTGTGATGTTTTGCCAGCATTCCTCCATTTGTTCCACATGATTAGCTTTTTGTACTTTTCTCTTGACACAAATGCTGGTTGGCTCCATGGGAGAACTGGGTACAACAGTAGAATAGTGGCTGCAGGATACTGCTCCTGATATAAAGTGTATAAAGTTGGTTGGGGGTCCTTTTCAGGAGGGAGCACAAGTGTCTTTGAGATTGCCGAACCAGTTAACACTTGAAAAAAAATTCTGGGTAAACTTAATCTGATCATCATCTTCCTTACTATTTATTTACTAGATTTTTATCCTGCTTTTATTGTTTTATAAGTAGCTTAAAGGCAGCAAACATACCTAATGCTCCTTCTCCTATGTTCTCCACAACAACCACCCCTTAAAATGATTTGGGCTGAGTGACTGGTCCAAGGTCACCCAGCTGGCTTTCATGCCTAAGGCAGGACTAGAATTTACAGTCTCCTGGTTTCTAGGCCAGTACCTCAACCACCAGACCAAACTGGCTCTCTAGGCTAAGATGCTTTATACTAATATTTAAATCATAATAATTACTGTTAGCAATGTTTTATCGTGTAAACTAGCATGTGCACATTTTAACTAAAGCTGCAACTCTTAACATTTGTGGCAATCTGAACTATTTAACATCTTGCAGCTTATGGAAACACACAAGACTGTATGGAAGTAATGCAGCAGCTGGCAGAAATAGATGAACGGAGGCTGGTGTATCTTGACATCTCCTGATCCTTTACTCTCAAAAGTGGAGTGGAAGAAATTGTTTGCGAACCTTACAAAGGTCTCTTCCCTTTTTGTTTCTCACAATAGATGCTAATGGTGTTCTGTACAGTCATTTACATACTCGTAAACGCCGCACGGGGATTGGCCAAGACGCGCGGCGAACTGATTGGTCGAGCGAGCCGCACTGATTGGCCCGCCGCGAATCTCCCACGATTGGTGGAAACTAATCACGGGAGATTTAAAGCAATGTCATTGGCCGCGGCCGCCGCAGCCAAAGAATAAAAGCCGCCGCTTTTCCCTTTTCGAGCCGAGCCGATCTCGGAGATCTAATAAATGAGCTGAACCAAGTCACTGGCTCCGAGTCTCATTCCTCGCGACGGACACGACAAATACGTCTGGGGCTACAGGAGATGTAGGGAGATGCGAGGGAGAACATATTTTTAACAGTACGGCAGAAAAACAATACTGTTGTTGTTGAATGATAAAGAAATAATGGCTGAGTTGCTCATGTTTGGAAAGAAACAGAGAACATCCTTGTAGTTGCCAGGGATTATTATGGGCAATCATTTGTAACTGCTTACATTTTATTGCGTGTGTTTTCCAAAGTGTGCCGGAGCTCATCCAAGGTTTCCTCTGTCTCCTGAGAATTCTGAATCAGAGACAAGTTCTGTTCTTCCAGCTCTGTGAAAAGCTGCAGCAGCTGGTGTGGATCTGTAAAGTATAATTCGGGTACCTGCCAAGGAAAGTATTAACACGAAGGAGTTCCCATATTGTTAATCAAATATACAGGTTGAGAGAAAAAACTAATCTTTGTTTATTCTGGGTAAGCTTTGCTAATCATTTCTCCACAGCACTGATAAAAAAGTTAAATTATAGCTAATCTTAGTGGCAAGAAAATGGCGAAAGAGAGAAAAACAATTATCTATCTCAACTGTGAGATGGGAAGCAGATAAATTTAATATAAAAGTAAATAAATAAAATATCTACAATCTCTATCTTTATTTAGCTATCTACCTAGTTACCATCTCTCTCTGTCAATCATCTATATCTTTGTGATGTACTTCAATAAGTACACCCAATTCAGCTAATAAAGAAGTTACACGTTAGACTGGGTCTCTGAACATCCTATTTGATGATAGAGTTCCCTGGCGACTATTACTTCTTCCAAACTACTTCAGTAGATTATTGAGTAAATAAGGAAATATTAAATAAGGAAAAATCCCAACCATGTGACCACCTTGGGCAGAGTGGGCAACTCATAATCTGTGTAGAGCCCAACCACATTTTCCACAATGTCAGGACTGTGTTATCAAAATTCAAGATGAAAATTGTAATTTTTAATGGTGGGATTGTCCTCCATTGTTTAGTTTAAGCTTTTCAGTACCTTTTAAGCAACTAATTTTTTTTGTACTATTTCACCTTAAGAATTCCAGCTTAAAAATGTACAATTAATTGCTGAGCCTTATCAATGCTGCAGTTATATGCTAAAAACATTGAATTACTGACCTCATCATCTTCTTCATCAGATAATTCTGAACTAATTTTTTCTTCTGATGGGGCAATCTGCACACTCCTGTAGAGGTTATTCTTGAGTCAGTTGTTTACAGGGATTATAATGCAATATTTATTTAATAGCTTATCTTGCTGATCCCTCAACATGCATTTTGAACGGGAATTGGAAATGGATTACAAGGCACTATTTCCCACTTTGTGGAAAGTTGAAAGAGATGACAGGATATCCATAGATGAAAAATATTAAACTGATTCAATCATTTATCCTCTTTCTCTGGAACTCTGGGAATTGTAGTTTTTTTTTCAGGAAATCACACACTTTTCTTACAGATTATTTTAAAAATGCCCCTATGCTATGTTCATCTGATGACTACCTAGACACAATCAGACAATTTTCTTGGCCATGTTATGAAAGTAGTTTGCCATTACTTTCTTTTGGGAATTTTTTTTCCTGCTTTCATGTCTAGCCAACAACTTGAATATTCTCTGATGTTCCCAAATGTTAACAAGATTTACTTCTTAGCTTTTGCTAAGTTCAGCTACATGCTACTAGCTGTTTCCTTTCAGTTAATGGTTGGACTTCCTTCTCTCCTGCATACTTCCATTTCCCCCCCAGAAGGGTGACAACATTTCACGGCAAATTTTCAAAAGGGGAATATAGAGGCAAAAGAAGGGAAGTCCCATTAGAAAACCAGAGAGCTATTTCTACAACAGTGGATACATAATTCTGAAGAGTGGAAGTGGAAAGAGAGGATTGAAGATGCAATTATAAATTGATGTAAACTGACATCATCATGGAGTGGCTCACGAGGTTAGAACACTGGGCTGACAATCTGCACGCCTGCGTTCCAAGACCCACTGCGCCCGTGGTGAAGCTGAGCTCCTGTCACATGCTCCAGTTCCTGCCAACCTAGCAGTTCGAAAGCGGGCAACTGCAAGTAGATTTATGGGTACCACTTCAGTGGGCAATTTCACAAGGACCTGAAAGAAGCCCTCAACTTGGCATCTTCCAGGCGATGATGTCACCAGCAAATCCTTTCACTACAGAAGCACTTCCTGCTTCCGACGGAGAAAAAACCTGACACCATGTAAATTGGCAATATATACAAAGCTTGACTTGCATAAGCCACAGGCATTTATATATATTGCTCCACACATCTTACATCTTTGCATTTGTTCTCATTTGAGAGGGCAAAACAAAGGCATAATTTGAAAGATGTGCTGCTGTAAGATAGTATACTATGATATTTTCCTGTGAGATCCAATAACCAATACTGGTGACTTTGATTCCTCTCTGTCTCTCTCCCAATTCACTTCCCTGACATACTTACGGCTTTCTGCTTTGTTGGGACTTTAGAGTCTGCCTAGAAGATACTCGGCTTAATTTGAAAGATTCCTTTCTAGACAAAATTTGGCTTGGCGTTCTAGAAGTGGAAGGTTCTACATTACTGATGTCAAAACTAGAATGTTTTGTTGTGCTTGCTATTCGACGTCGGCCCTTGTCTTGAGATTCTTGAACATCCTTTCCTGAACCTGAATACAGAAAAGCCCATTAATTGTGTGATCCCCATTTAAGTGTTACTATTTAGAGAGGGGGGGGAAAGGGGGGGGGAGACTATTACTGGTAAGCCATGACAGAAAGAGGCATGGGTACATTTGTCAGTTTTGTTCATTTTAATGACTAAAAGTTTTGATTCTACATCAGTTTATGAATGCAGCCAAAAGAAAAGAGAACACCTACCTCTCCATTTACACCTCTGTGAAGATGTCCTCTGAAATATAGATTTTAAATGTAAATCTGTGATGGAATGTGGTGAGGAGGTTGATTCTGAGGAGGGAGGGGTGCATTCCAAAGGAGAAAGAGGCAACTCAGCTCACATATTATGTGTGAGAGAAAGAGGGTGAAGACAGCTCTTCCGTAATAGTTCACAGAGTATATTGTAAATACAGACAGTATAGTGCTCGGTATGGTATGGTTTTATGAAACAATAAAGAACTCAGCTTGGATGAATCATCACAGGCCATTCCTGGTTTTGGCCCTGACATATTCTTTAATATGTATTTTTGTGCACATTTGGGATTGTGAGTTAAGATATGAAAAGTGTGAATTTTGTCATGAGTACATGCTCTAGATATAATAATTTTTAACATTATCAATAATGTATTTGTTTCAAACAATTGAAGAACCAGATAACTACATACAATAAAAATAAATGGGAAAAGCCATAGTGCACTAAGAATAAAATATTAGTACTAAATAAAGGATTTACAATTATAACATTTGAAATTCATTATTTTTAATTAATTAAATCTATAGAACTAGGTTTATTATATCATTTTAAGAAATACGAGTTGCTTGACAGTGAAATGGGTGGCATATACATTTAATAAATCAATTAAATAATTAAATAATTAAAACTCTCTATAAAATGCTAATCATTAGTATTAATATTGATATCATTTCTATTTTTCATTCTTCCAAAAAGAAATGCTTATAATCAAGGGAAGGGAAGGGGGCCTTTTTTCTGTTAGTGCCAATGAAACTGTACACAGATCTAGTACTGAGAAAGAAAAGTCATATGATGAAAATCTGTGTCGGCCATACATTTTCCTCAATGTTGCTCGTTGTTTTTGACAGTAAGCAACTGCAGAATAAACTTATCTTTCCTAACACTGAAGACTGAAAAAGAAGACCAAAGTCTTGTAATTGTAATTGGGGGCGTGCATAAGCGCACCAACGTGCCTACCATCCCTGTCCTATTGTTTCTCTTATTCTTTTATTTTTCTTATATGTACCCATTTCATGTATTCACAACTATGTATACGCTTATACTTATTATCTTGTAAACAATTGGCAAATCAAATAAATAAATAAATAAATAAATAAATAAATTTATGAGTCTCATTAGTTACCCTTTAAATATAAACAAATACAAGGAAAATAGAAATTAGAGCAGGGGTGTCAAACTTGCAGCATGTGATAAGTCACATGATGATGCTGTGATGACGCGAGTTTGATAGCCCTGAATTAGAGCAACATAAATAATAATAAAATAAACATGACGAGAAATACCACTATCTGAAGCATTTTAAATACTTTAATAATAGCATTTTGCTCACTTTCTCACTCTTGAGAGGTTCATGAGTCTTTTATTATTCCCCATGTTATAAGTATGTCTGAAACAAGACGTATTTTACCATAACTTGATATATCCTGTCAAGGTTAAAACTGTCCTACTCAGTTATATCAAGCCAAGGCACTTGTGACTAAACAAAGGCAGATAGTAACACTCACAAGTGCCTACATCAAACACATCAAGCAAAAAGATATTCATTAGCTGTTAGATCATAATGAGATATTAAAAAATAGGTACATTGATTTCCCCATGTTCTTTGGCAAAAGACTTTATTCATCACCTTCTGGAAAAACTGCATAGAAAAATGATAGTAAATAACCAGTAATTTTCTTCTCTTAGTCTGAGGGGTCAATTCACAGAATAAATGGATAAGCCAATCATTTTAGAAAACACATATTCATACTATAATTTTACAGGATGGACAAAGGTCATCTCAAAATTGGGTTGTTTTGTTTCATCCATGTGGATATATGTGCATGTGAAGCAAAATGCTTTCAGAAGGAGAAGGAAAAAAGATACTCAGAGTACCATTTGAGTACTGGTGTGAAATACCTTAAGAAAACTAAAATGTTTGCAATGGTAAAAAGTTGGCTCAAATATTTTCATTTTTTTTAAATGTAAAAATAACTCTATTTGATTTTGCCTCAAAGTGGACTCCACAGCCTGTTTTAATAATATAAAAGAAAGAAGAAACATAAAAATGGGATAACATGAATGTATGGAGTATAATCTGAACAATGATAGCTGAATGGAAGCTCCTTTAATACTAATTAATTTGACAAGATAGTAGAATTTACCTGTTTAATGTGGAAGTTCTCTATACTATTATTTTTATTTTCTGTAATTATACCATATGGCTTTGCTTCTGATTGGTTTCTTCTGAAGATGGATGAGATTCAGCAATAGTCTCTGAAGATCTATTGTTATTTCTATGCAGATCTGAGAATCACACACAGTCTTGGGATTATGGAAGTGCTTACCTTTTGACTGTACTGATTTTTCCTCTTTATTGTCAGAATTGAATTTATTTGCCTTTTCTTTCATCCGCCGTCTTTCACGTTCTTCCCGCCATTCTTTGGGAGATAGTTGGTAGAGGAAATCCTTGAACACCACATACTCCTGCAAAGTGTCCTCAAATCGGGCTATCTCACTGAAGAAAAGAAACAGTCATTGCATCAAGAGTGAATGGGGATTACTCTGCAGCACTTCCAAAGGACACTGTTGTAGAAAATTGGGATAGGTATTAGGTATAAAACTCCTCTCCCCAAGTACATATTCCCAGGGAAAATAAATTGTTAACCATAAATGTTTTAGACATGAAGAATGCTGGACCAGACACCAGGAGACAGTAAGAGTGCTGGGAAGTGCAACTGCAAGAAGGTAACATTTAAAATATATGAATGGATGGATGGATGAATATCCCTAAAATATCCCTTAATTTTACTCTGAATGCTTTGGTAGAAGATAAACAATACTTTTTGTATTGCCTGAAGTTAGGACATCTTCATAAAAAGCATATGGCAATACTGATGTGTGATTGTCTTTGTGGGTCGGTCATGAGAAGAATCTGGTCTATCAAGAGTCCCATCTTTTTCCTGATGCCATTTACTGGTACTTTATGGCCCATACTGCTACCATAATGTTGATTCCTCTGAAGTGACTCCATTGTCTCTTTTCTTCTGCTTTCAAAGAAGAGATTCAGACAAGGCTAAATGAAATTTGTCCCAGCAGGTGGCAGCACCTAGCTGACCTTGCCAAGTCATCAAGGTCAGAAAATGTATTTCTTAGATGGCTATCATTAAATCCCAGAGCAATCCATTCTGGAAAACATAATGGAAAACTTGTTTCATATTCTTGCCAAGAAAACAACATTCTTGTATCTATGTAATCATCCAAGGTCAAACTTAATTCAAAGAAGTCTGAATCTTTTAAATGAAATTTTAATTGATTTTGATCAATTGACCAATATAATTGAGCATTTCCAGGCAGCAACTCTTGGAGCAAAAACACCATTAGTTTTTCAGGGGAGTGCTTTATTTTAAAATAATTCCTGAAACAGGTCTAATTCACTTTTTCTAATATTGAATTAGAAGAATAGCAACTTTCATTTTTAATTTTAATGCATTCCAAAGTATTTCTTTCCATCTTCTCAAATGTTTCATAGACAAGGTCAATGGAAATAACAACACTAATTGTTATCTTTGGGGACATGATTTTTTTTTTTTTTACCAATCTATGGAGTTAAAATTGGAGAGAGAAACAAATGGAAACGTATAAAATCTTGTTACCCATAATTCAGGCATATAATTAATAATTTCAAGCACAAACATTTAGCATGTCATAAAGATCTATAGAACTAGTGTACTTTTAACTGTATTGGAACATCCAGGAAAGGGAAACAGGGAGGAAGGAAAATATACCCTGGATTATATCTTCTGTAACTGCTACCTTTGGATGTTCATCATTTGCGCTGTCAATTCTCGGATCTCAATTATTTTCTCCAGTTTTGCTTTGGTTTCTTTTTCAGCACTAAGAAAGAAGAAATAAAGGCAGAAATTACCTGCAAAGCATGACCAGAGATAAGAAATATCACAATCAAGGAAGACCTCAAAGTTTTAGGCCATCATGAAAAGCCAGAGGCAATGATTAGGGCAATATAAATTTCATCCTGGTGATGTTCCATTTCTCTCCTTCCCCCAGTCCTTTCCTTCTTGTCTCTACCCATATATTGGTTGAGAATTTGGCTGAAGAATATGTAGAATGTAATGATTCTCGGTCAAGTTAGTTTGACAACTAGATGACACAAGAATGGGGTGACCCACTTTTCCATGGTCAACTGTGGAGGGATCATATAACAATAGCACTTACTCATAGAGTGCTCCATAGTGCTTTATTGCAACTTTCATCTACCTGTGAATTTCTGTTGGATCTTTTAATCAACTTGTCTGGTAAACACTCTCTTTAAGGTGGGGTGGGGGGTGGGGTGCACAGCCTACATGTTAGCTAGAGAACAGAAAGGCAGCTCTCCTAAACTGTCAGCATAGATTCAATTCTAGATCTTCAATATGAGCTCTCTCTCTTTTTTTTAATCACGGAAAAAGTTCTGCTAGCCTGGGTGGGAAGTGGAAGACATCTAGCTAACTAGCTTCAGGAAACTTAACTGCTTGCTGTTAGATTACCTAGCAGATTTGTAACTCTTTAAAATATCAGTAGGTGGGTTTTCTTGTGTTTGTTAAACAAAAAGAAAGAATAGTATAGAAATAAATTGACTCATGAATTATTTGGCATCTGAATCCCAGTAGAAAAGATTTGACAAATAAATCAAGTCCCTATTATGAATTCCATGAAGAATTTCATTAACTCTGAATAGGTTTCTTAAAGCAGCAGTGGTTTTTTTTTTCCCCAGGGCCTAGGCAGAAGTTTGAGTAGCCTTTTCATTCTTTAAGGGGTAGCTGAGAGAGGCTGCATTTGATGAGATCTGAAGCACAAGGATCTGTCTACAGGAGAGTCAAGGTGAATAACTCTGAGACATGATGCAAAACCCCTGACATGCATATTTGTATCAGACATTGGGATGCAATAATACAAGGGTGATGTTTGTCTGATGAGATCACGGTGTTTCTCTTTTTGACACAAACTCACTTTGCTACAGGGATATATGGTGTCACTTCTGAATCATTCTCAAAGCATGTGAAAGTCTAGCACAGGGGTGTCAAACTGGCGGCCTGCAGGCTGGATACGTCACACGCAGGCCACACCAACCCCAGCTCCATGAAGGGAAAAAAAAGTCGCGATACATCGTGTGACAGCAACGTGACATGGTGAGTTTGATACCCGTGCTCTAGCAGGTTCATCCCCCAATGAAAGCATTAGAGGCAGAATGCTCAAAGATATGATTTGACTGTCCACAGTATGCTGAAGTTGCACAGACCTCTCCCTCTCTCTCGGGATATAAGCTGCTGTGTTTTGTTGAAACTAGAAATTCAGGATGTCTTTTCTGAAATGATTTGTTCTCCAGTCTTAAGGGAGAAGGTGAGCATCACTTAAGTCACTCCTTTAGTTCAGCAAGCATCTCTGACCACCCTTTTCAGACCGGTTATGAAAATGATGTGTCAGATATTTCAACCTTTGCCTGCCTGTGTGTGCCTATGATTATATTTTCTTCAATATGTTAATTCTACAAAAAGTATTGGGGGGGGGGGCAACGACCCAAATCCAACATTGTAATTCCTCCCCCTCTGATATCATACCCCACCATGCCCTCTGTATTCCTGGGAGATTTCCCCCCCAAAACTATCAAGTGCCCCTTTTGTCCAATATGATTGCAGAGATGCTTGTAAGGAAGCTCCTGCAACACTTAGTGCCAGATTTTATGTCTCCTACTGAAAACTGCAGAACTTCCCCAGGACTTGAGATGTCTATGAACTCTACAGCACAGATCCTGTAGTTCAGTGTTACATTTTCAGAGCCAGGGCAGAGTTTCTGTCATTCTCTTTCAGGAACTCATCAAACATGGCAGCGTCCTTTTCCAAGTCTTCCTCAGCTTTTTCCAGCCTTGCTTCTTCTTCCACTGCCAGATTTTCCAGCTTCTGAATTTCATCTTTTTTCACAGTTACAGCGTACTGAAATGTAAGTCAAAAGTGATTGAGAAAGGAAGGCCCAGTAACGTCTCTTTTCAGTTAATGGACAATTTATCACTTCCGTAGTTTAGAAACTGGCTGTTCTATTAGTAAAAGAGTTCTGCTTCGATGTGAAACTCCTCTTCTCCCCATCTTTGCTATTACCCTCAAACTGTCCAATGATTTCTATCTTTCTCTTTTTAACAGCTACACTGTTATAAACAGATAACAGATAACAGCCACTTACGGGAGATGGGTGGTGCAGAATTTCATAAACAGACATGGTAAGATGTACCTATATCTGTGTTTATCTATACAGATATACAATTTGTGCACACAAACCCACCTTTTTCTAGACATGGGAAAATATGCTGTGGCTATAAATAGAATATGATATGACCATGTATAGAACTTACTCTATGTATGCAGAGAAGCCCATGGCATAAGCCATTTAGCATCTTCCACTAGGCAATTTACTGAAATGATTCCTCATGTTAAAAGCTACCACTGAATTGCAATGAAGCAACTTCATTTACTCCTGGCATTTGTAATCAGCCCTTCCCTTTGCAAAGTGTTCAGAATCAGACTGGTGCTGGTTCATCCCATGTTATCCTTGTAATAATCCTCGCAATATTTTGATTGGAAAGAGTTTCCCCCAAGGCCTTCCAGTGAATTTGATGACCAAAAAAAAAAAAAAAAGACTCGACCCCAGTTGCAAACTGACACACAGGCAACACCGCTAGAACAAAAGGAAATACCTGCAGCAAGAACATCTGCCGTTTCTGATTGATGTAATCATGCATGGTCTCTCTCTCTACAACCTGGTCTGGGGGAAAAAGAAAGAAAAGAAAGAAAGGAAGGAAGGAGGGAAGGAAAAAAGGAGGGGCAGCTGCGCAAGTCACAACATCCAAATGCAGCCTGACACAGTGAAGTGAGAGACAATGCCTTTAGCAGAGCTTTCAAAATCTCTTTGACTGAGTTGGTTGAGAGGTATTTGCAGGCAATGATTTTATCACCTCCATAGTTTAGAAACTGCTCTGTTCCATGACTAAAAGTGTTCTGCTTCTATGTGAAACTGCTTCTCGTCTCTTCTATTCATCTTTATTCTATTCATTTCATTTAATCTTCTTTTCTGAGCGCTTGTAACTAACAGTTGGATCTTTTTATCAGGGACTTTTTAGATATGCATCTGACTAGTGTGCATTACAGCATCAGATATCATTTCCAGAGGCAGCAGGCTTTTGTAGAATTTGATGCCCATAAAAAACTCTTTCATATGCTAATGACTCTATGATAAGAGCCCATCAGAAACTTCCAAACTCTGGTGAATCTCATTTATATTGCAGAGTGTTTTAGAAACATTTTGAAGACACTTAAGAAAATTTTATTCATCTTATACTCCAACTTATGGTCAAGATGTTAAGCAAATTTTAAGCTGAGCCTATAAAAAGAAGAGTCCATACTTTCCCCTTTATGGTAAGATCTTTCCCAAAATTATTTGCATAGATGTTTCCTTAATGACTTATTTTTTAAAAAAAATCCCAATCAACAAATGAAAGATTATATAAACATTAATAAGCAGAGGCCTGCTGCTTTGGCTATTTCCCTATTCAAAATAATCCTTCCTTCCCAACTGTTTTTCTCTTAAAAGCTTGGAACAAATAACTCCAAATGTGTTTTACTTTTGAATGACAATGCTAACCAGAGACAGGAAGAGACTAGTTTACCTAAAGCAAGTTTGTATCCTCACCTAGATCAGATTTTTGGAAAACAATGTCTAAAATTATTTCAATCTGAATGTGAAAAAATGAGAATCTGAAGCTGGAAGCTTTATACAATGTATGTTCTGATACCAAGTAATTATCCTGCTAAATTGCAGCCTAGAATCAGAATGCTTTCCTCAACTACCTTTAGTAACTGCTATCTTCCAGGAGATGCTTTCTCTGAGCATTTTGAGTCGTTCGGCTTCTGCTGCTAACTCCTTGTCCTCAGCTTCTTCTTCCATTTGGATCGCTCTCTTGAATCCTGACTGTTTGGAACTCTGCAGAGTAGAGCAAGTCATCTTCTCGTGGACTTTCAAAGTCTTCCGTCGCTCTCGCTCCTAAAGGAAGAATGAGTTGATTAAATGCTCTCTTGGTTATCAGAGGCCTCACAAGATGGCTGCCCCAGCAAAAGTGTATCTCCAGCATAAAGGACCCTATAAGAAAATGCAGCTGCTCAGGAGGTCAAAATGGAATTGTATTTTGTAACATTGGAGCTAATTATTCACTCCGTGAGATCAGTTATACTGTGTATGAAATATACAGAATAAAGAATAACAGAGTTGGAAGGCTTCTGGTCCAACCTCCAACTCAAGCTGGAGACCCTATACTGCACCACACACTTAGAACTCTCTAAAAAAATGGGGCCTAGCATCCTTCTCTCAGAACTGACTATGAAATTAGCTTTGATGCTGCTATTCCACATTTATTTAATCTAGTGCCGAGCAAGACTATATACATGCACAAAAAAAACCCAAAGATCAGGCTTCCTTAACCAGCTGCCTTCCAGTTGGATTGAGTTCCAGATACCATAATCTCCAATTAGCATAGCCAATCATTTTCAGTGGATGGTGCTGGATTCCAGTCTTACAAGAAAGAAGATTCTCTCTACCCATGCAGTCAGAACATTCAATCCTCTCTTATCATCTGTAGTCTTTTTTTTTTTAAAGGTCTCCCCACTTCAGCTTCAGTTACACTTTTGACTCTTTCACAGAACCGTTGGTGTATCTTATTATTTAATACACAAAGTTTTTCTAAAAGTCTCAGAGATTCTCCTTAACCCAGGCAAAATAATATTGCATGAATAATGACATTATTTATGCTATGAAATCTCTTAATGCAATGAGACAGTACACCAGTTCAGTGGGAAGAGGGCACATCACACAGTCATCATTCTGATTAGCCATCACTGGGAAGAATTTTTTTTGGAAACGTCCTGTATTTTCTACATACCATCCTGGCCTTTTCTTTCTGTTTATCTCTCAGCAAAAAAATATCAACATCTGCAGGGATTTTGAATGGATTTTGTTCCAACAGCCTGTCTATATTTTGAGAAGGAACTGCAAAATAATAATAATAATAATAATAATAATAATAATAATAATAATAATAATAATAGAACATTAAGAAATAGCAGAACAGCATTATATAGCAAAAGCAATAGCACTTAGACTTATATAATGCTTCACAGTGCTTTACAGTCCTCTCTAAGTGGTTTACAGAGTCAGCATATTGCCATCAACAATTTGGGTCCTCATTTTACAATCTTGGAAGGATGGAAGCTGAGTCAACCTTGAGTCTGGTGAGATTCGAAATGCCAAATTGCAGGCAGCCAGAATAAGTAGCCTGCAGTACTGCATTCTAACCGCTGAGCCACTGCGGCTCTTCCAAATATAACAAGAAAATAAATAAGAATAACCAATATGTGTCCAACTGGGCAAAGATGAAAGAATGTTGGTGAACTTCATCACCAATGAATGATCATTTGAACAAATATAATTGACTGGCCAGATTGCCATGGCCAACTCACTGCAGGACAATTCAACAAATACAAAAGTTAAATTAATTTCGACAGAACTGTAGCCAATAATAAAAAAAATAAAATCAAACCAGAAATACAAGAGTAACAATCATTTCAAAGAAATGTGGTCACCAATAATAAAAGTAACTGGTTGAAATGATTAATAAAGCGTTGAATTGTCCTGACATGAGTTGGCCATGGCAAGTTGGTTGTGGTGAGTTATCCGATTTCATGTTAAAAGATTTTTTGGAAATCTTGCAACATATACTAGAAAAGAAATTTGCACACAGTACTACTGTGTTCACATTTTTAATAGATTCTCAAGCATTTAGTCCAAATGATTTCCAAATTAGGAATAGCTCTATAGTTAGCCATCTTTAAAATCAAGACAATTTATTATTTGCCACATTATAAACATTGGTTTTGAAAATAACTTTCTTTTTATCTCTTCTTTCCTTTATTCTCTGTGATTTCAAGATGCTTTGAAAAGAATTTCAAAGGTAGTGGAGGATTGCAGAGGGAAGGTTTTTATGTTCATGAAAACATATAATTGGATTTCAGACCCAAGAGAAAATCAAAGTACATTAGTTCTATATGATTTGGAAGATTCTCTGATCCTGAAAGATCCTATTGTCAAGGAAGTTTAGAAACAATAATGCAAGAATGGTAACTGATCTGCTCAAAGTTGCTAAAATGGCCATGGCTTCCTCTGCTGTGCCACAATTCTAAAAACTGATCTATTGTGTTAAAATTGCTCAATGATCTACTGATGATTGCTTGCATAATGGAATTTGGGAGCTGACAGTAAACAATTGAAAAGAGAGACTTACGTGACTTGGTGGTTGGTCTAGAGCTGGACTTAGCAGAGGGTATTGTAAACACATCTCCGGTTTGCTGAGATAACAGCCGTGTCCCTGATCCAATAAACAACAAACTTCACTTAGTTATCCAGAAATATGTTATATTATAGGGAATGTTGCTAAGATGTAGGTGTCAGCATCATAGGACTTTCCATACTTCAATGTTTGAAGATTGAAGATCAATTTATATGGGGCACTTTGTATATATCATTGGGAACAGAGTCAAGAGTGGTGCGGTGGCCTAGAGGTGGAGCTTTCGCCTCACAATCAGGAGGCTGTGAGTTCAATTCTAGGTAGAAGCAGACATTTCTCTCTCTGGTGTTGGAAGAAATATCCTTCTGGGTTCAGTTCCAAGTGGGGAAAAAGACACTGGAAACATGGAGGCTGTTTGGAAGGTTTAATGGTGGACAGCAGGACCACATGGCTTGAAGCTCCAAAGAAGGATGATCCAAGGTGAAGGAAAAGAGAAGAAAGGGCTGATATGCTGAGAGTGCCTGGGTTTTATAACCTTTGTTGGGATTTGAATTGAAACTTGTTTCTAATTGGTTGTTAGACTCCCATGGGGCCATGCAGGGGCAACTCTATAGGCTGTCCTGAGTTTCAGGCTTGGTTGAGCCTTGCTGGATGATGATGCACTGAAAAGGGCTTTTGGCAATTGCTATAGCTTTACTTGGAGATCTTTGTTATGTAAAGTATTCTGGCCCAGGCCTTAATGGCCCACCCATTAACAAAGGTGGGGGGTGAGCTTCTGCTTTTGCGGTGAGTTTCTGCTTCTGAGTTTCTACTCCTTTTAGGGGAAATATTCTGCCTTTTTAATATTTCCTAGGATATTTCATTTTTCTAGGCGAGGGGTGGGTGCTAACTGCCTACACTGGGCACACTGAGAATATATCTGCTGTACAAAACTCTGCATTGGTGACAGGAAGGGCATCCAGCCATTAAACAAGCTAGCTCCATTCAGTTGCCCAGACTCCACCTGCAACGGATTATAGGTTCGTTAAATGAAGATGATGATGATTGGGAACAGAGTCACATTCATTAATACCATCCTGACAATACATCTCTCTCAACCTAGGAGAAGTTTATGCTCCAGGTATTAAACTCCAAAGAAACCAAGCAGCAATGAAGTTGACTGTTTCAAAAGGAACAATCTACAGTACATATACAAAAACGGATAGATCTGTGTTCTACTTCAGGAGCTGCCCAAACTCTGACCTGAGTTTTAAAACTGTGAAAAGAAGGAAGCACTAAATTCTAGGAAATAAAACAAAAGAGTCTTACTGTAAATTTCTTCAGAGTCCACTGAGCCTGTAGATGTACTTGAAGGGGCAAACAGGGTTCCAGACATCTTGAGGATGTTCTAATTTTAACAAGAAGGCTGACAATTTTCTACCTGGTGAACAGATGTCTCGAGATGCAACACTGAATCTTGGCCTATGAAGAGATGTGTATAAGGAATCCTTTGTTAAATGTGGTTTTATTCATTAATCAGCTAAACCTTAACAACATAGAAACTAATTTACATCTGCTAACATTTGGGGCCAGAAATTAAAATGGTAATAAAAAAGATTTTGAAGGACCCTCCTAATAACTAAAATTAAGACTGGGGCAAGCACTTGCAAATGATGGTGGGCTTTGATTCACTGGACATCCATTTTGTTCTTGAGAAAGGGGTTAGGTTGAATGATTTGTAATTCCCCTTCCAACATTAACATTCTACAATTTCATGACATGAAGAAGAAAGGAATTTTGTGCAGGTTCAGTTTTTTTTTTCACCACAGAAAAACCTGAATTGCTCCCAATCTTTGTATCACTATTACCATCCAAAGAATTTTTCTCACAGAAAGAATGGCCTGTTCTTTCTCTATTTTTAAGCAAAAACAAAATGAAAGAAAGGGAATCATGCACATAAAATAGGCATGGGGTCAAATAAAATGGTGCTAATCCGAACAAAAGATTTGTAGAAATCATCATCATCACCATAATTTTAAATGACTTGCTTGCTTTAAAGGGGTCTGGAAATCTGCAGCTGGAAATCGTTTCCCAATTGTTAACACTCATTCAGCTATGACCTGTAATAGAGGGAAGGATCACTATAACATTAATGGCTACCAATTCTATGAGATGCTTTCTCAGTGCTACATCAGTGGTTCACGTTGAAGCAGTTATTTTCAGGAAAATGACCTCACCTCATGCATACTAATTTCAGTATCTTCTAACAAATTAACTTGATGTACTGTAAAGTACATAATTAGATGAGCGGCTGTGATGGCTCAGTGCTTAAAAGACACTGAGTTTGTCAGCTGAAAAACTGACAGCCCAGGTTTGAGACCTCTACCATGCAATGGGTAGAGTTCCCCTTCCTGCCCCAGCTTCTGCCCACCTAACATTTGAAAGCATGCAAACGCGAGTAGATAAATAGGTACCACTTCAGTGGGAAGGTAACAGTGTTCTATGCACCTTTGGTGTATAGCCACGTTGACAACATGACCATGGAAAATGTCTTCGGACAACGAGCACCGTATCCAAAAGTAGGACAGAACCAGACAGAGAAATCTTTACCTTTTTCCTGTAGAGATAGTATCCCTTGACCAACCTTACCTCAGCCTAGAAGTTAAGCAGGGTTCTGCTTGTCTGATACTTGGAGAAGAAACCACCAGGAAAATCTAGGGCTGTAGGCTAGACAGGGAAGTTGAGAAAAAAGATCCTGCAAGAAAAAATTGGCAAACAATTCCATGCTGAATTGCATGGCTACATGTCTATGTCACCTTGATTCAAAGGCTTGACTTTGGTATAAGTATTTAGAAAACTCTGCTTGGTGAAATGGTTTTTGAAGCCCTAAAGCCTCCCTACTGTATTCAGTCATTTAGGAGTAGCAGGTGTCATCTAAACTACAGAATTATTTAAACTACAGGTAGCCCTTGTCTTACAGCCATTCATTTAGCAACTGTTCAAAGTTACAACTCTATTGAAAAAAGGGACTTATGACCGGTTCTTGCACTAATGACTATTAAAACATTCCCATGGCCATGTGATCAAAATTTGGGCACTTGGAAACAAACGTGTATTTATCCTTGAACTCTGGTGCTGCAGTGGTTTAAAGTGCAGTGTCGTTGGCAGATTCTGTCCACAGCCGGGAGTTCGATTCTGAGGGAGCTCAAGGTTGACCCAGCTTTCCCTCCTTCCCGAGGTCGGTAAAATGAGGACCCAGATTGTTGGGGGAAATATGCAAATCATGCTTATATCGTAAACCACCAGAGTGTGAGGTAAATCGTTATGGGGTGGTATATAAGCTTAAATGCTATTGCTACTGCTGCTTTGGTTGCAATGTGCTGGGATTACATGATCTGAGGTGGTATTCAGCAGGTTCTGACCAGTTCTGGAGAACTGGTAGCGGAAATTTTGAGTAGTTTTGAGAACTGGCAAATACCACCTCTGACTGCCCCCGTCCCCATCTATTCTCTGCCTCCCAAATCCCAGCTGATTGGCTGGGTCTTCTTTTGTTGCCTGCACAGGAGAACGGAGCTAGAAAGCAGGTTAGTGGGGTGGGGAGGGAATGGGATTTTGCAGTATCCTTCCCTTGCCATGCCCACCAAGTCATGTCATGCCCACCAAGCCACACCCACAGAACTGGTAGTAAAACATTTTGAATCCCACCACTGTAACATGATCACAGTTTGCAACCTTCACAAGGGACTTCCAACAAGTAAAAGTCAATGGGATAAGCCAGGTTTGCTTAACCACCACCTGATTCTCTTAAGAACTGCACGATTCACTTAACAATCACGGCCAAAAAAACCAATCATAAAATCAGACACGATTCATTTAACAACTGCTTTCTTTAGCAATGGAAATTCTTCCCCCTGTTGTGACCATATGTCAAGCACTACTTGCATTTTACCAAGAAAAGGTTCAAAGCATCTCATCGTCGTGACAGAAAGCTGACAGCTGCTTTTGAAAGGGGAGTAGGGGAGGAAACAACCCTAACTCCATTTTCAATTCCATTTGAAGCTGAAGACTGAAACACTTTTTCACTTGAAGCCTGCCATCATTGCAAAGCTGGAGCAGGATTACTGTTTAACAGCCTCTTTAATATTATTCTGCTGATGTTAGAACACAACCTCAGGCTCCCATTCTCTTTTTTCCCCCCAGAAAGGTTACATATGGGAAAACCAAAGTACTAAAAGAGTGCTTGGATGAGAACATTGCATTTGAAAGCACAACTATATAAATCAACTGGGGAGAAAGGGAGAGAGAGAGAGAGAAAGAGAGAAAGGAAAATGTAGTAAAAAATAGTTTTTAAACCTCCTGATAGAAATATAAGATGAATTACCGCAGACGGTAAATATGTTTGCTGGGTAGGTTCACTCCAGAGACAGAGATGCTTAATTTCAATATTGAGATTAATTTCAATATTGAGATTTTTTTTTTCCCCCTGTAGATTTTTCCTGCTTTTCGACGACTCAGGCGTAGCCTTTTCATCAACGCTGGAAGTTCAAGAAAGCATATCGCGCTCAACCTGAATTCTCTCCCGATTGGAAATTAAAAAAAGAAAAAAAAATATGGCTCTTTATAGAAGGAAAGCACTATCAAGTGGCTTAAGTTATTTTCCGGTCTCACGTTGCTCTTTTAATTGCTTCTGCTCGGCGAGCCCGGAGGTTTTGCGAGTCCGTTTGGCCAATTTAACTCAAGAGCCACAGCGCTTTCGGACAAGAGGCAGGTTCCAGCGTTCTCGGCATTCCGCCTCTTCCATTGTTCTCCGTTCTTGTTTACGTTGCTGAGGAAACCATTTTCTCCTGTTGCCAGGAGGTGCTGACGTCATAATGGAGGGGGAAGCGCTGGGGGGATGCGGCGGGGACATAGAGATTGCGGGGAACTGGAATCGAGCGCCTTACGTCCAAATCAGAATCGGAATCGGAATCGGAATCGAGCTGGAAGGGACCTTGGAGGTCTTCTAGTCCAACCCCCCCCCTCCTCAAGCAGGAGCACCTATACCCTTTCAGACAAGTGACTGCTCAGTCTCTTCTTCAAAACCTTCACTGATGAAGCACCCACAAGTTCTAACAAATCTGGAAACTAAATGAAACAAGCTCGTCACAGAAAAATGCATGATCAGTCAGTGGAGAATACTGTAAAAAGCAAGACAATTATATTCTTAATTACGGAAAACGTTAATTGCTGCAGGAGATAGAGAGGGCCAGCCGTTTGGATACTGTTGTTTTGTGGGAAATAATTTGATATTTCCTATATAGGGCACTGCACACCAGAACAACTAGACACAAGGACAGTTTTTCTCCCAATGTGACCATTCTGCTAAACAACTAATTCCCATAATACTGTCAAGCTCTTTAGTAAGACTGTATTGCTATTATTCTCATCCTTCCTATTACCTATCAATTCCAACTTACAACTATAACTGTGTTGCTTGTGTCTTTACAATTTATATGTTTTATTTGTTCCCTAGTATGATTCGATTGCTTATTAGTAAACTATGACTAACACTAAGTGTTGTATCTTATGATTCTTGATGAATGTATTTTATTTTTTCTTTATGTGCACTGAGAGCTTATGCACCAGACAAATTCCTTGTGTGTCCAATCATACTTGGCCAATAAAGAATCTATTCTATTCTATTCTATTCTATTCTATTCTATTCTATTCTATTCTATTCTATTCTATTCTATTCTACTCTACTCTACTCTACTCTACTCTACTCTACTCTACTCTACTCTACTCTACTCTACTCTATTCTATTCTATTCTATTCTATTCTATTCTATTCTATTCTAAACAGATGTCAATGTCCAGAGACAGTGAAGGGGATCAGTTTGAGGCACAAGGCAGGCTGCCATTCAGCAAAACCCATCCACATTAATCAAGCCGTCCTTACCACATTTTGAAGGCCTGCATTACAGGCCTAAAGAGTTCCCACCGCACCAATACCAATACCATAAGTGGGACATTTAACAGTTAAATTCAGAATCTAAAATTACTTTGCTTGCCATTATGTCCTGAACAGTTCTTCAATCTGTAGCCATCAGCAGTGTTGGAATAGCACTGAGTACCCTCTCATAGAAAGCAGGTGTTTGTAATACAGGTAATCCTCAACTTACAACCATAATTGACCTCAAAATTTCTGTTGCTAAGTGAGACAGTTAAGTGAGTTTTGCCCCATTTTATGACCTTGCTTGCCACAGTAATTAAGTGAATCACTGCAATTGATAAGTTAGTAACCCGGTTGTTAAGTGAATCTGGCTTCCCCATTGACTTTGTTTGTCAAAAGGTCGCAAAAGGGGATCACAGGACTCTGGGACACAGCAACGGTCATAAGTATGAACTGGTTGCCAAA